CAAGCCAATGATGACTTTTCTTACTCAAAGAACAAGTTGAATTTAAATCTCTAATAGCACATCTGTTTGTATAGAGGTTCTCCAAATTTTAATATAGGTTATAAAGTCCCATAAGGGCAAGGATTTCTTATTCTTTATCTCCAGTGCCTATAACAGCGCCTGGTATAGATCAGGTGCTCAGGAAATATATTTTATTAATAAATGACTGGGGAAAATGAAAAAACTATATGAATATTAAGCATATACAAAAATTAAGGCTAATAGTCAGACACTTATTATTCAGCCATAAAAAGGAATAAGCACTGACAGATGTTACAATATGGATAAACCTTCAGAACATTACACTGAGTAAAAAAAGCCAGACACAAAAGGCCACATAAGTATGACCCCACTTATATGAAATAGTCAGAAGAGGCAAATCCCTAGAGAGAGAAAGCAGATTGGTGGTTGCCAGAGCTGGAAGAGAGGGGAGTGGAGAGTGACTGCTTTATGGGTAAAGGGTTTACTTTGGGGTGATGAAAATGTTTTAGAACGAGACAGTGGTGATATTTTCACAATATTGTGAATGTGTCAAATGCTATTAAACTATTCACTTCAAAATGGTTCATTTAAAAAAAACAAAACAAAATGGTTCATTTTATGCTACGTGAATTTCACCCTAATTTTTCAGATACAAAAGAATACAGATATATCTATCTAAATCCCCTCATATAAAAAAACAAAAATAGGCAAAAGTATGCTATTAGAATTCAAGGCAGTGGTTACTCAAATAACCAGAGTTCTGGGCAAACTGGAGGCACTCATAATATTCAACTCTCATGAAAACAGGGTTTTCACAATTCACTGGACTCTGTGCATATGATAATCACACTTTCCTATACATAGATTTTGCTTTAGTCAAAAGTTAATTTAAAAAGCAAATGTATATGTATTGGTATATAAATCACTGTTATTTATAATAGCAAACATTTAGAAAGAAGCACCATGTTATAAAGTAGAGCAGTTGAGAAAATTTTTCTACTAAATGAAATGTTATAGTCAAAACAAAATAATGGATTATGTTGCAACATGATCTTTTAATTTAATAATGCTAAATGCAAAACTGAACCCACAATATGATTACAGATGACAAGAAAAAGTGGGTAAAAAAACTTGTTATTTTTCCCATACCTGAAGGTCTGCACTTGGATGGGCTCTTTGCTGTTCTGCCCTCGAAGCTGGAAGATCTCTTTAGAGGCCTTCTTCAACATCTTCTCAGCGGCCTGTTCCTGATGGTAGTCAAGTTTGGTTTGTCGTGTCTATAATGGCAACATTTGAGGAATTAGAAGTTTTTATTTCTACTTTTTAAGAAAGAATCAATGAGTTTGCTCCCAGTCCCAGAGCCCAGAAGAACACAGTTGGTGGGGACCCAGGGGAGGAAGGCTTGCTCCAGGGGAAACCATTCCCAGGGATCCTGGGAAGCACCAGACATAGGCCTGAAAGACTTGGGATCCAGGATGTTCCCCCTATACACATACAATGTGGGGAGGGTTGGTGGATCCTTCATCCAGGCCCCAAAGCCTGTGTTGGCACCACTGCCAAGGGCACCCTCTGGGCCCTCAGAGGAACACAAGTTCCTGGACCACTGAAATGACAGTTCAATACCCAAGGGGCTCACTTCAGAACCCAAGCACAACTGGAGCGAAAGGCAGTGCAGGAGCGGGTGGAGCCAGTGCTCACCTGCCTCTCAGCCTCCTTCAGCAGGCTGCGGAAACGCTCATCCCGCAGCACCCAGTGCGGGAGGTCAGTCTGGCCTCGCAGCTGGGCATCTTCCAAGCGCTGCCTCAGCTCACGCAGGGCACACAGCTCCTCGTTCAGCTGCCTCTGCCGTGTTCTCGACGCCTGGAGATCCAGCTCCAGGTCCAGGGAGGTGCGGGCCATGAGCTCTGCCAGGGAAGACCTGCAGGACTGCAGGGGAAAGGGATGACAGCTGTGAGTGCATGGACTGGCTCTGCCCAGACCAGGCCTTTCCCAGCCTTCTAGAAGGTTCTTCTACAACCAATAAACAAGGGCAAGGCACATTCCCTAATAATGGTCTCAAGTTAAAAAACATAGACTTGGGCAAGAAAAATGCAAATCTCTAGGTCAATATCAAGGTTAATAACACAATTTTTTTTTTTTTGAGACAGAGTCTCACTATGTCACCCTAGGTAGAGTGCCATAGCGTCACAGCTCACAGCAACCTCCAACTCTTGGGCTTATGTGATTCTCTTGTGTCAGCCTCCCAAGTAGCTGGGACTACAGGCGTCCGCCACAACCCCTGGCTATTTTCTTATTACACTTGTCATTGTTGTTTAGATAGCTCGCCCGGGGCTTAAACCTGCCAGCCTCAGTGTATGTGGCTGGCACTATAACTCCTGTGCTACAGGTGCCAAGCCAAACTGTTTTTCTTTAACGATGACCTATGTATTTGGAAAAGATGCTCTTATATGGGGCTGGCAAGATTAAAAATGGGCACAAACTTGCTGACGTATCATTTGATAATATATATTTAAAGCAAACTTTCATCTGAAAAGAACTGTCAACATGCAAAAGTGGTCCAATTAAGGTTTATGACAGAAAACAAAAGGCCTAAATCTAGAATAACAGGAAACAGACTATATAAATTACAAGGCCAGCACAAAATACAGCCATTGTAAAATGTTGAAAAAAAATACACTGACGTGGAAAAATCTTAATAATCTACTGTATAACACATTTGCATGTTCCAAATCACTAGTGCTTTTGGTTTAAAAAAGTATACACACATATCCACACAAGCTGTCAAAAACTTTCCTCCCATATAAGCCTCAAGTAAACAAATATGCCGTGTTCCAAAAAGCCCCAAGAAGTGAAAAGACTTTTGTTCATGGAGTTGGGAGCAGTGCTTTCCATCCAACAGGGCACAAGGCCCTAGGAGGGCAGTTACTACACCACAACCACAAACCCATTAGCAGATGACTGTGGTCAGTGGACTGTATGCTTTTTACACACACAACACTATTTTGCACAGACACAGAATTTAAATGCAAATATGGGTTGTAATTAACAAATACAAATTCATTTTAAAGCACTGCTTAATTCATAGCAGAGCCCAGTGGTTCTTGACCAGAGGCAATCTGCTCCCCTACCCCCACAGGACGTTTGGCAATGTCTAGAGACATTCTTTTTGTCATGGCTGGGGGAGAGGGTGCTCCTGGCATCTAGTGGGCAGAAGCTCCAGGGATGTTGCTTAGCGTCCTACAGTGCACAGGGCAGGCCCCACAGCAAAGATTGATACAGTTTAAAACATCAACAGTGTAGCTGTTGAGAAACACTTTTGTAGCTGAATTGTTTACTTTCTTCTGATTCTCAGCCATCAGCTACTCTGGGTATAACCACCACATGGAAATCTGGGATTTTATTTATTTATTTATTTATTTATTGAGACAGAGCCTCAAGCTGTCCCCCTGGGCAGAGTGCCGTGGCATTACAGCTCACAGCAACCTCCAACTCCTGGGCTCAAGCGAGTCTCCTGCCTCCGCCTCCCAAGTAGCTGGGACCACAGGCACCCGCCACAACACCCGGCTATTTTTTGGTTGCAGCCGTCATTGTTGTTTGGCGGGTCCAGGCTGGGGATTTGAACCCGCCACCTTAGGTGTACGTGGCTGGCGCCTTAGCCGGTTGAGCTATAGGCGCCGAGCCTATTTATTTATTTTTTGAGACAGAGTCTCACTTTGTCATCCTTAGTACAGTGCTGTGGTATCATAACTCACAGCAACCTCCAACTCTTGGACTCAAGTGATTCTCTTTGCTCAGCTTCCCAAGTAGCTGGGACTACCAGCCACAACACTCGGCTATTTTTTTTTTTAAGACACCGGGTCTTGCTCTTGCTCAGTCTGGTCTTGAACCTGTAAAGCTCAGGGCAACCCATCCATCTCAGCATCCCAGACTGCTAGGATTACAGGCATGAGCCACCTCACCTGGCCAAATCAGGGAATTTTTTTTTCTATATATGTTCCAAAGGATCCTTGCCTAGAAAAGACAAGGACCTACTAGCTCACAAATGAAAAGCACCAAAATTTTATAAACGGGCATGTTGTGAAGAAAAAAAATGTGGTGAGTAAAGGAAATGAAAACCATAGTGCAGCCCCAGGTAAAAGAATGCCACATGTTTAAAGAAAACCAAACTTTCTAAACTATATATACTCCTCTGTCAAAAAGGAAAAAGAGCTTGTTATATAGACATGTTTGATTGCTTACTTTATTACATTTACGAATGTACAGATCATGAATTATTTGAAATCATGATATGATCTTAAGAAATACTGGTGACGTTATGACATTTTATGTGCTGAGTAAACAAGTAAATAAAAACATTACCTTTTATTTACATGACCTTAAACATTACCTAAAATGTTACCTTTTAATGTTTGTAAAAATAACTCCCAGGGTAAACATAGATTCCATATCTGTTTACATGGCACACACCTGCTTGTAGCGAAGGGTTCGTCTTTCCAAAGTATTTCGGACAAAGGGGGACTTCCGGGGCAGTGTTGAACTGTCACTGTCACTACGATAAAGCTGCACCAAAAGAATGATGTTTAGAAACAATTTCTAAGAAATTCAGCATTCATTCTCTGCGTGTACTTGGACTGGGATTATTTCCTTTCTCCTTCACAGGTGCTCAAACATACTCATGACTTTACGTGTTTCTATGAGGTCTTTGAGATTCAGGTAAAATGAAAAACAAAAAGCAAAAAAAAAAAAAAAGAAGAAACAAAGGAAAAAAAAAAAGCAAAACCTCCACCCCGTTTCCAGGCTAATGGAGTCAAGAAAATCTTCATCTTATCC